AAGGGGATAGTAAAACACCATGTCCATGGATGCCCCTTTGTGTTCCCAAAAACCTAGCCCAGTTAACAGAACAATGAGAACCTGGGCCAGAACATACTATCTTGAAGGATACTGGCTTTCTCTTATGTACCCTAGGAATGAGGGCAAGTTAGTACTATCTGTAGAAAGCTACTTTCTTGTATGTATACCAGGACATTTTTGCTCTTTGAGATATAAGCTGGTCATATAAGCAAGCTAATGCTGATGACGATTTTACTGTTTCTACAATCTAACATATGAAACCCCTCTCTCAGGGTGAGTAGTATGGAACTGAGAACACTGCAAAAAAGATATATGTCACTTGTCCAGCCTGCCTCCATTGGACAAAACACCATGAGGGAGAGGGGACACAGCCTGGCAAAGCACAGTGAGGGATAGAGGGTCTATCTGTCCAGCTTATTGCCACTGAACCTTCCCCATAAGCGTTTCCAAAAAAAAAAAAACCCTATGTATCATACATCACCTCCAGGCATTTTCTTTGATCTCCTAGAAACTTATCCCACTGTCCTGGTACAAATGGGCTGTGGATAAGACCATAACTAATACCAGACAAGGTAATTCAAACTAGATTATTTAAGCAAACCCATTGGAAAATGTTTAAATTTCTTGATGATTGAACACAAAACTCATGTCATTAGAATGAGAATGTCTATGGAAAGATTGGTTCATGAGCACTGTCAGTTCTGAGAGCATTTAAAATTAGTAGCTGCACATAAAACTTGAAATGCCCTGACATTGTAAGAGATCATGTATAAAACCTGATAGATTCTTTCCAAAATCTGATAACATTCCTAAAAATGTATATGCCATGATTCATAAAGAGTAGGGAAGCCAGGCAGGTGGCACACTCCTATAATCCTGCCAACTTGGGAAGCTAAGGCAGAAGGATGGCAATTTGGAAGTGAGCCTCAGCTATTTGGTAAGTCCCTGTATCGAAATAAAAATAGAAAAAGGGCTGGGGAGTAGCTATGTAATAGAGCATCCATAATATTAAAAAAAGAAGGAAAGAAAAGAAGTAGTGAAATTGAAATAAACCTATCTAAAGATCTACAGTAAATACACTTCAATCAAGCATGCCAGAGGAAATGCTAAATTATCCTCTCTGTATAAAATTATAAAATCACTGTCATATGAAGTGGCAATGACAATATGCAGCCAAGCAAGGATCACAGGAGAAAAATATTGGAGATATGTTAAGAAAATTCATTAAGTTAATTTATTTTTCTAGGTTTTTATGTTGTTCTTTGTATTGGTCAGTTATTTTAAAAGAATACGGTTTAATATTTCTTTTATCACTCTCAATAAAACATTGTGACCAAACGTTACCCATATTTTATACTCTTTTTCTGGAAATGGGTCCCACCAAATCTGGACTAGGCCCCTGTTCCTTCCCTAAGAGAGCAACTTCAAATTTCTAATGGGGGACGAAGTGGGATAGGGCTTCGGAATGGAAGAGTCGGGAGGGTGATTCCAGAGAGCTGGGGGATGTGTGGGGGGGGTGCAGGTTACAGGAAAGAAAAAAAAGTGGGGCAAGGAGGAGTGAAATGGAACTCCAGAATGGGCAGGATGTGGAGCAGGTAGAACTTAAAACACCAAGGCATGGCTCAATGTCCAGTGACGAAGTTACAGAAACCTATGTAAAATGCCCCGCGTCCGACGCGCGAGAACTGAACACAAAGGTGACCGGGTCAGCTTGGAAGCCGATCCCAGCGACATCAACCAGCTAAAACGTCGGTCCCTGGACCTCAAAATGGCCTGGGCGACTGCTGACATTCCGCTGGTCTTGAGTAGCTCGGTAATGGGTCTTGGGCGCGCTGCAGTCTGGAAAGGAAGTGCCAATCCCTCAACTCCTTAAGGATTCTCTCGACAGGGAGACACCTCCGCTCTCGACCCTGCGTCGTTAAGGAAACGAGCACTGAGAACCAGGCGACAGAGTCCGGCCGAAAGATGTGCTAGGAACCTGGGGCCGCGGTGCCTGCAAGACCTGCGCTCTTAGCGCAGTGAGTCAGGCAACCCTCAGAGGGTTGGAAGGCTGCCCTCGGGGAGGCGGGGCCAAAACAAGAGGCGGGGTCATATGCGAGGGGCGGGGTTAGATACGCCTGGCCACGCCCCGGAGGGTAGGCGGTGCCTGGTTTTGAGAGGCGTTTAGCCCAACTTAGTCTGCCCTAGGCTCTCTTGGGACCGGGAGGATACAGAGACCAATTTGGAGAGGGCGTGGTGGGGAGTTAGCTTGGTCAGGCCTGCAGGCGTCCGTCCGTCAGATTCCTGGAGAAGCTGTCGGGAAAGAAGTATTCCTGCTCTGGAATGGAGCGCCTGCCTAGTATCCTGGCCAACCTGGAGAACTGGAACCGCAATTACCTCTGCAGGAGCCTTGGGAGAAAGAAGGGAGGAGATGGGGAGAAGATTTCAGGGATGGCCTGAGAACCAGCCACCATGAAGGGCTCTGGAAAGGAGAGGATTATTATCACCCAGGAGGCTGTACATGACCAAGATCAAGAAGCCAATGCCTCCAGTGGCTAGGGTGGCTGAGGCAGTGATGAACCCAATCTTCATTTTAAGATTGGGAGCCATCTCGTCACAAAGTTATGTAAAGTTCATTTGTTTTACTGTAAAATACTAAGATTTCTGTTTGGCCTGACCATATTTTGATGTTTAAACTTGTTTGGAATTCCTGTCCGTGCTTTGAACTCACCCTTGCCTGGCTCTCCCTGACCAGATAACAGCCTTCCCTGAAACCCCAGTGGCACCTCATAAATTCTGATGTTGGAAACTGAATTTACTCCTTATCTTGAAATATTTTCATTAATCTGCTGTCTGCCCTTGTAGTATGTTTGCCAGAACCCTATTAGCTGGAAGTTCTGAAGATACTCACCTTTGCAAATTTTTGTTATAGAAAGTCCCCTGGGGCTGGGGCTGAAGCTCAGTGGTAGAGCACCTGCCTTGCATGTGTGAGGCACTGGGTTCCATCCTCAGCACCACATAAAAATAAAATAAAGATATGTGTCCAACTACAACTAAAAAAAAAAAAAAAGTCCCCTGCCCTTAGACCAGCGCTGTCCCCTGGCCCTGCATTTGGGTGAGGCAGTCACTGATCAGCTGTCTTTTTTTAAATTATTTTTTTATTTGTTTTACAGCTGTCTTGTGTACACAATATAGGCTGGCTTTAATTTGGTTTAAAATGGGAGTCGTTGGTCTTTGCTTTGTGGGTTCAACAGCAGGAAGATCGCAAGTTCAAAGCCAACCTCAGCAAAAGCAAGGTGCTAAGCAACTAGGTGAGATCCTGTCTCTAAAGAAAGTACAATTTAGGGCTGGGGATGTGTCTCAATGGTCAAGTGCCCCTGAGTTCAATCCCTGGTACACCCCACCACAAAGAAGAAGAAAGAAAGAAAGAAAGAAAGAAAAGAAAGAAAGAAAGAAAGAAGCCGCCAATGCCTGGGCCAGGCATGGTGGCATATGCCTGTAATCCCAGCAGCTCAGTAGGCTGAGGCAGGAGGTTCTCAGGTTCAAAGCCAGCCTCAGCAACTTAATGAGATTGTAAACAACCTGGTGAGACCCTATCTCAAAATTTAAAAATAAAACAAAAAGGATTGGGTATGTGGCTCAGTGTATGAGTGTCCTTAGGTTCAATCCATGAAGCCAATGCCTGGCAGAGAATGGGAGAACAATGTGAAGAGGGAGAGAGAGAGTCAAGGATGAGCCAAGTAACCAGCTGCCAGGACCTGTAACACCTGTACTCCCCCACCCCCCGTCATTCTTCCTCTTCTGTCTTCCTTACCTCATCCCCTTTTGGGTTTCCATCTACCCTCATTTCGCTGAGGTTCTCACTCTTACACATCTGCTCCTTTCCCATATAGCTGTGCTTCATGCCCTTCAGGCTCCTGGAACAGAGCTGCAGAATCCAGACCCCTGCGGGACTGCACACTCAGGTCATCCCAAAATGAAAAGGGTGCTCTAAGATACCAGAAACCAACTCCAGGAAGACAGGAAACACGTCCATTTCCTTTCTCCCCTGTCTACTCAGTCTCTTTTGGAACAAATGGTTATATTTTATGTGCCTTTCTGTCTCCAAGATAAGTCTTAGCTGGTGCCCGTCTCCGCCTTATCTCACCATTAGAACTTCAGAATTGGATCATGGATACTTCCTTAGTGTAGGACTTTAGTAAGAGATGAAAAGCTGGGAGGGAAAATATGTAGGGCATATGTGTAGCTTTGTGTCTGCTCCTGGATGTCTGTCTGTCTGTCTCTGAGTATCTGTTTGTCTCTAATGCCAAACAGCAAGAAGGATGGGGAGAGACTCCCCCCATCAGGGAACTTGAAGGAACACATGCATCAGTTCCATTCCCCACTCCCTCTCCCTTCTGCTCCTGGCTTCTAATCCCCTTGTTGCTACTCTCTCCAGATCTTCCTTCTTGTCATCTGGGTCTTAGCTCAAATATCATCAATTCCAAGGTCTTCCAAAAGCCACCCCACCCTGCTATATTGTTTATTAATTTGTTGACTTGGTAATTGCTCCCCCCCCCCTTGCAGTGTAGGACCTTGGAGAAAAGGATCTTGTCTTTATCATCTCTGTCTCTTCAGATCCTGAAACAGTGCATGGAACATAGAAGGGACTCAACAAAGAGGTGCAGAACTGAATCAAACACAGAAATGGTTGGCTGCTCAGTAAGAGGCCTCGCTTCTCCTTTTGGCCTTCTCACTGCATCTTCATTCCCTTCCAGAGCCCCAGCCATGCCTGGTGTTGCCCAGACTTCTATTCCAGCTTGCAGCAGCCCCTCAAATCAATGCAGTTGCTCCCACCACCACTGCCACTTTAGATGTCTCGGGAGCTGTGAGTGAGCCAACACTCTCAGGCCTTGCACCTGGTCTCCGAGCCCCAATTCCCCGAGGAACAGATGCCTGCCCTTGACACTTTTCCAACTAGGTGCACTCCCCCTTACAAAACCATATTTATAGGCCATTGCTCCTTTGAGCATACACTGCCCTGGTGGAGCCTCCATGCAACTCCACCAACATTTATTATGGGTTTCCCATACAACAGGCACCATGCTAGGTGAATCTCCAAAGTCATGGACAAGCTAAATGCCAGGGATCTTCTCCCTCCAAGTTTCGAGTGTCCCTGTACCTCTTGCTTTTGACACGGCATTTTCTGTCCCGGGCAAGTTGCCGTGCTTGAGCTGAAGGGACCGTGTAATAGTCTAGTGCAGAGAAGGCTGTGTCCCGGGCCTGGGCCTCCACTAACCAGTCACTGCCTGTTTTGCTGTCTCCAGCCTTCATCTCCTTTGGCATCATGGAGGCAATTTCTTAGCTGGAAGCAGGCACTCTGCTTGAGGTTAGGCAGCACCACTAGATCTCCAGGCTCTCTGCACTGTTCATTCCTGTTTCCGTGAGAGGATCAGGATCTAAGTGAGAAGACCAGACTTGCAGCAGGCCTATGAGCCTCAACTCCCATTTCTTCACCCAAACTAGGGACCCAGAGCACATTCAGTCTGAGGCTGAGGATGGCTGACATGATAGTTCAAGTTGAGGGAAAATGCAGGCAGGAAATATGGAAGCCAGTATTTGGGGCAAGGAGAAGGACTTCAAGAGACCTTGAGTCCAAGCTACTGACCATCTTCTGTCCCTTGGGCTCCCTAGCTCTGGCCTCTGATTGCCAAGCTACACCCAGCTCCTCTGGAGCTCAGACCTAATGTCTTTCTTGGAGAGAATAAAAGGGAAAATGCAAGGTAAGGAAAGAAATGGAGCATTTAGTCATTTAGTGGCTACCATACACACATACCATGTTCAGCAGAATCGCCTTTCCTGTACATAAACACACAGATGCACACATGCACATACACACACACATTCTCTGAAATGCATATTCTGGATTCTTTTAGAAGAGAGGAACTGGCTTGAGAGGGCACAGGAGGTACCCCAGGAATAGAATCTAGTATTTCACAGACTCAGAGGGCAGCACCAGTGGTTGCTGTACAACCAAGCAGGGTGACTACTGGGTGCTTCAGCTCAGATCCCTGTCTTCTTTGGCTGGAAGGGTCCCTGCTTATCCCCGTTGGCTATGGCATTTGATGTCCAATGCAGTCCTTTTTTAACTGCATTGACCGGCATGGTCTTCCTTGGCTGTGAGCATAGCAAAGATACTTGTTGGCAAAGGGCTCAGCCAGCTCAGTACCCATTGACCACTCTGTACTAAGCTTGTGTCTCCATTGGCAACACATTCAAGCCATCCTTATTCTTTCTTATTGCTCTGGGCTCAGACAGCCTTGTTTCATTGGCTGCCCAGTCCTGATGCTCAGTTCCCATTGGTTGCCACTAGAGGTAGTGTTTCCACTGACTGTGAGTCCAATGGATGGTTGGACTAGCTTTGTCCTCTCCATGTACGCTGCCAGAGCCCCAGCTTGTGCCCCATCCCCAGTTTGCATCAGGGTGCAGAGGTGCTAGGGGTGCCTGAAGAGGGTCCGACAGCCTCAAGAAGCCTCTGGTGCTGACGAAGATGCTTCCTTCTTTCGTGTTCTCCTGTGACTTCACACACCAACTGGGCAGGGAAGGCCCCAGGAAGCCCCTTCAGCCAGCCTGAGGAAAGAGACAGGGACTCAAGTGGGGTGGGTTCAGAGGGCAGGTGAGGAGGGAAAGGAGGCCCTATAGGATCTCAGGCCTTTGGGGGTCAAAGTGGGGATGGGAATTAGTAGAGAAGCCTGGAGCATCGGTAGAAAGACATGAGCATCAGATGCTGCTCTGGGAGTGACAGCAGTATCAGAGAGGATCTGGGTCACTCCTCTGTTCAGTCCTGCAGGGGCCCCCTCATGCCACTTAGAGTAAGACACGGAGATCTTAAAGGGACCCACAAGGACCAGCAAGATATGGTCTCTGTTACCTCTCTAATTTCATTTGTTCCTTTCCCATTTTCTGGCTCCCTCTGTCCTCCCTACCCTCCCCCCATCACAACAGCAGGCCATAAGGCCTTGTCACTGCCTGTTTCCTCCAACTGGGACACTTTTCCTCCTGACACCATAAGCCCAAATTACTCATATGCATCAAACTCACATGTTGCCTCCTCACTGAGATCCACTTCAGCCTCCCTATTTGAAACTGTAATTCTGTTAACTCTGGAATTCCTGGCTTCCTTACTTTTTTCTACTTTAGTTTAACCATTGCACTAACTGCCTTCCAAGAGACCACATATTATTTGCTTATTTGTCAGGTTTGTTTGCTTATTTGTGTGTGTGTGTGTGGTGCTGGGGATTGAGCTCAGGGCCATGTGCATGTGAGGCAAGCACTCTACTAACTGAGCTATACAGCCTCATGGTTTTTTGTTTTTGGTTTTTTGGTTTTTCAATTGTCTCACGTTTATTTTATTTTATACATGCTCCAGGGCTGGGAATCTAGCTCAGTGGTAGAGTACTTGCCTAACATATGGAAGGCCCTGGGCTCAATCCCCAGCACAGCAGAAAGAAAGAAGAAAGAAAGAAAGATGAATGCATGCTTCAGCAGGGCAGGAGTGGGCCTTTATATGTGTTTAATGCATGTTGATTGAATCAGTAAATGAAAGATTCTCTCACCTTCAGGACTCTTGTGCAGTTGTTTGGATGGAGCTCTGGATTCCAGAATCCGTGCCTCAGTCTTGACAGGTATAGATGGCTCTGAACACAGTTCCTGGGAACACTCTGGTAGAGGGCATTCAGTGGGATCCATATTCTTTTTAGCTTCTCCCCAATATTCCCCTTAAGACTCGTTTTTTTTCCTTCCCTTCTCCCCTGTATGGGACACTCACCACAGTCCTCATAGATGGTGTCTGGGGAGCAGGGAAGAGGACCTGGGGTAGGGAAGGCTCCCAGCCAGCGCTGCATGTCTGATCTGGTGGGGATAGAGGGAGGGGTCACAGTTGGCCCAAGAGAGCCTCCTGGTGGTGAGACAGAAGTCACAGAGGTGAAAGAATGGTGAATGAGTTGGTGGGGTCTGAGGTCAGAGGAGGGGGCCCCACGGATGTTTTTTGTTTGTTTATTTTTGATGCTGAAGGTTGAACCCAGGACCCTGTGCATGCTTTGCAAGTGCTCTACCACTGAGCTCCACCGCTCAGCCCCCAGGGATGTTTTCTGGAGACAACTCACAGGGAGGAAGCTTGGAGTAGCCGATGGGTGGGGCGTCCCTGGTGGTTGCTGAGAAGGGAGAGGCGGAAGGTAGGGGGTCCAGATGGGTCTGGAACCTGCTGGGCCTGCACCAGGGAGCGATGGGCATAGTCCAGAACCTGTAGCCGCTGCCCACTGCCCAGGAAAGAGGGCGTTCAGAAGGAGAGCAGGAATCCTACTGGAGGCCTCATCTATACTCCAGTCTGGGCTCCCTCTCCTCGGGACCCACCTCTTGGGCTGAGTGATGAGCAGCAGGTCACTGAAGAGCAGCAGGCAGAGGGGGGTGAAGCGAGGCCTGGAGGTGAAGAGCACACCCCCTCTCCTGCACCCTAACTCCGTCAGCTCCCCCTGCAACTCCAGGCGCCGTGACCAGGAGACCAGGGGCAGAGCCTGAGAGGAAGCAAAGGAGGGTTTAGCTTCGCAGTAGCAACGTGGGGAAGGGCAAGATGGAGGGTCCTGGTAGGCACTAACCTTGACTTTGTGGAAGCGCAGCCTTTGGGTGAGTCGGATCAGCTCTTCAGTCTGCTTCATGCGCCCCACCTCAGCGCTGCAACGCTCGATAATCTGAGTGAGCAGAGCCGAGTCACCCACCCCAGCAGCTGGGCCCCTGCTCCCTCCCACCTTTCCCTTCTACTTGGTCACCTCTCCCACTTTTTCTCCTGCCCACCTTGCTGACAGCACCCAAGGCCTTCTGAGCATTCTCCTGGCGACTGGATCCCTCCTCTGTCTGGCGCAGGATATTCTGGAGATAAGGAAGAAGGTAACTGGGCCCACTGCTCAGCCCTGGGATTCAGAGGAGCCACAGCTCAGAGGAACCTGCCTGGCTTGGAGAAATGCTAAGTTTGGGGTTCATAAGGCAGTGGGAACAAGCCTCAGTCAGGTTCACCACTCACCAGCCACAAAACTCTGAGTTTTACCTTTCTGAGCCTCACTTTTCCCAATTGTAAAATGCAGTTAATACCTACATAACATATCAGTGCCATTGTTGTGAGGATTTAAGGAGGTAATATTAGACAATCTTGGCATACAATAAAAGCTGAAAAAGAGCCAGGCGTGGTGGCGCACGCTTATAATCCCAGTGGCTCCAGAGGCTAAGGCAGGAAGGTCACAAGTTCAAAGCCGTCTCAGCAATTTAGCAATACCCTAAGCAACTCAGAGAGATACTGTCTCTAAATAAAATATAAAAAAAAAACGGGCTAGGGATGTGGCTCAGTGGTTAAACACCTCTGGTTTCAATTTCCAGCACAAAAAAAAAAAAAAAATATATATATATATATATATATATATATACACACACACACACATATATGTGTAAATAAAAAGCTGAAAAAGAGGGTGGCTATTATTTTAATAATAGCAAACAATGTAGTGCAAACAATGGAGCAGGGTAGTTAAAAGTACCTGGATTTCACTTTAGGCTCTGTTGCTTATTTTTTTTTTTTTTTTTTTTTTTTTTTAAATATTTATTTATTTATTTTAGTTTTCGGCGGACACAACATCTTTGTTTGTATGTGGTGCTGAGGATCGAACCCGGGCCGCACGCATGCCAGGCGAGCACGCTACCGCTTGAGCCATATCCCCAGCCCTCTGTTGCTTATTTTTGCATGAGCTAGGCAAGTTACTTAACCCATACCTAAGTTTCCTCTTCTGTATAGGGTAAATAATAGTTACTGCTCTCACAAGTTGTCAGTGATATTAAAAGGTATATAGCACTAAGAACTATAACTAGAACCTCACACTCAATAGCTGTTAAGATATTATGATTGGTATCATTTTTATTATTGTGTTATTTATACTAAGAATAGATAAAGCTGAATAGACAAAGAATGTAGGCTGAAGGAATAGTTCAGTGGTATAGCATTTTCCTAACATGCACAAGGCCCTGGGTTTGATCCTCAGCACTGCAAAAAACAAAGACATAAAAAAATCTGATTATCTAGTTGGGGACTATTCACATGAAGATCTCTACATTGAGTGATCTGGTTATAAAGGAATCTCAATTTTGCAATAGAAGAGTGTTTGCTTGTGTGTTTGTTTTAATCTTTTATTGCTGTTTATTTTTTTAATGAGGTGACAGGGGTTGAACCCAGGGCCTCATGGATGCTAGGCAAATGCTTTGCCACTGAGCTCCCCAGTCCTAGAAGAGTATTTCTAAACCTTCTTCCCCCTGCCCTCAGTATTACCTTGCTAAGGAAGGATTTTAAGACATTTTTCCTCTAAGTATCCTACCCATCACAACTTCTACTTTTTATTTATTTATTTTCAGTGTTGGGGATTGAACCCAGGGCCTTGAGCATGTTAGACAAGCACTCTCACTGAGCTACCTCCCCAGACTCCCCTCCCCCAAAGAAAATTAAATTCTACATTCTGTAAATCTGCTTATATTCCATTTTTTAAACACCACAACCATTGGAATATTTAAGATTTTAATTTTCATCCCCCAAGAACCAATTTTGCCCCTTTGGAGGTGATATCAACTAGTTAGTGGCTGAGCAGAGAAAGTTAAGTCTAGAACTCATGTCTCCCGCCAGAGGCCCTTTTCTTGTACCTAGTCTGTTCCCTGGTGCATTTCGGTATCTCCCAGGTAGGGTGTCCAGGGTCCTGAACTGAGAGGCTCAGATTAGGAGTAATTTATGGGTAGGAAATGGTGCTGACCAGAACAGAGATCCCTGGGAAAAGACCTTCAATGGGACTGGAAGGATAGAAAAGGTACCTGTAGCAACATGCGGAGCCGGGTGATGCGCTGGAAAGGCAGCAACAAGAAGGATGGTAGCGGAAGCCGCTCACACTTAGGGAGGCTCTGCAGCCTACGCAACTCCGAAGAGAAGCGCATGTTTGTGTCCCTGCAAAAACAGGCCCAGCTGGCTAATGGCTGCTACCTGGAGCCAGGCACTGATCCCTCAGTTGCTCTGACCTCAGAGACGCTCACTCCAGCTTCCTCCCACAACTCTGAGATATAATAATCCTCCCTTATTCGTGATTTTTTGCTTTCCACAGTTTCAATTAGCCAAAGTCAACTTCAGTCATAAAATGTTAAATAGGAAATTGCAGAAGCAAACAATTCATAAGTTTTAAATTATGTGCTTTTCTAAGTAAAATCTCAAGCCATTCCATTCCATTCCACCTGGAACTTGACTCATCCCTTTGTCCAGCATATCCACATCCTATACCCTACCCTCCCATTAGTCACTTAGTAACTGTACCAGTTATCAGATTGACTGTGGAGATATTGCACTGCTTTATTTTAGTAATGCAACTGCTATTATTAAGTGTACTAAAGTGCAAGAGAAGTAATGTTAGCAATTTTACTACAGTATATTGTTATAATTTTTCCATTTTATTAATTAATGTTATTAATCTCTTACTCTGCCTAATTTATAAATTAAACTTTATCATTGGTATGTAGGTATAGGAAAAACATAGAATATATAGGGCTTAGTACTAGTCACAGTTTCAGGCATCCACTGGGGGTCTGAGAATATATTCTCCCATAGAGTCTGAGGAAATACCCTACTCACATTAGGCGACTGTAGGTCTCCTCCTGATACTGTTGATTCCGCACATAATCCACATACACCGAGAAGGGACCCACTGCATGAGCGTGCACCACATCACACAGGTCACTGATGTGTGGCGAAGAACGCACACGGGACAGTAATGTTCCTAGAAACCTGAAGGAGTTAGGAGAGTAAGCAATGGAGGGGTGCAGACAGCTGGGTCTTCAGGTGCTTCCTGGGTCCATGGAAGGAAGAACCTGGTAGGGAGAAAGCTAACGGGGTGCTCAGCAGCCCCAGATCAAGATTCCTGGGAAGGCAGGATTCCACTGACCGCTCACTGACGCTCTGGACTCGCTGCACATTGGAGAAGAGTGTGTGGTGATCCCGAGGGGTGAGTGTGTCCCGAAGTGCCTGGCTCAGCACAAAGGTGTCAGTCAGCAGCTGCAGGGAGCGCAGGTAGGAGGCCTCAGATGTCACCACCTCGAATAGGCTCTGGGAAGGGCAGGACCATAGTGCAAAGTGCCACTCATAACCAGCCTAGGACCCAGGACATCCTCCTCCCCTATGTCAGCCTACCCAGCCCCACCTCAAGTGTGCCCACCTCCTGCATGCGCCTCTCTTGGGGACTGAGGGTCTCCAGGAGGCCACTGGCTCGCACAGCTGGAAGCTCCTGCCACAGGGTGTTTCGAGGTCCAGGGGGCCGTGTGAAAGTGGAAGGTTCCCCAGGATTTGCTGGAGAGGGACCCCCATCCTCACCAACCCCCCACAGCTCCTCTGATAGCACGGCTGCTCGGTAGGTCTGGTACAGAGGTTCTGGAATGCAGACAGAGCACATCAGGAAAGTCAAGAGCCCTAGACCCTTTCTCTACAGAAGTGACCCCCAGATCCAGAGACCCTCACCATCCTGCAGGGGCAGCTCCCAGTTCTGTTCCTTTAGTCCCTCCAGCCCCTCTTCATCCCTGTGGAAAGAGAAAGCTAAGGGAGTCCCCAAGGCCACAGCTCCATGGGTGCTATTCACATGACAGTGGAAGTGATGCATAAACCACATGCATGTTGTATGTAGGGACCCAGTGGCTCCTCAGATGTTTTATGTGCCTGCTGTAAGGGAGGCCCTGAACTAAAGGGGGCCCCATCCATTCCTGTTATTTCAACTACTGTGTACCAGAGACTTCCAAATCTGTTTCCAGCTCTTTTATGTAGCAACTATTGCCTGACCAGTATTTATTTTTTAATTTTATTTTTGCAGTGTGAGGGAGAAAAACCCAAGGTCTTGAACATGTCAGGCAGGCACTCTACCACTGGACCACATCCCTAGCCCTGCAACCATTATCTGGAAGGTCCTATTTGTGCCTTAATGAAACTCCCCATGGTCAAACTCTCACACCTGCCTACCACTACCCACAGTTCTGTCTCCCCTGTTCTAGTCACTGGTACCAGCACTATTCACTCACACTAAAAGCCATACTAGTAAATGATTGATGAATAAACAAATGGAACTGAATTGCCTCTGATAACAACAATAAATCTAAGATGATTAACAAACCCAGATAACATAGAAGACATGGTCATGGTTGCCAAATGGATTTGTGGATAATAATCGCAATAAAGATTCAAAGTGAGAAAACAGAATTAAAATGGAGAACTTGCTATGGACCAGCTCTTTAGCAATATACCCCAATGATCCCATGAACTAGCTGGGGTATTCTTATGCCCATTTCCTAAGTAAGAATGCTGAGACCCCAGAAAGGCTGAGAATTTGTATAAAGTCACATAACTAAGAGGGAACAGAGCTGGGATAAGAAATGGGGACTGCCTGTCTCTATAGCCCTAACCCTTCTTCCTTCCACCTTTGTGGAGGTGGGATTCACCTGGACCTGAAGGATAGCCTACCCTCAGGTGGAAGACAGTAGGGAGAAGAGTGGAGAATAAGGGTAGAGAATCCTGTACCTTCCCTCCATGGCTGTAGGATGAGCATTCCCAGGAGCTTCATCAGGACTCTCTGCTGGAGAGAGAACCCAGAGTGAAAAGAACAAACCTCCAAGACCCCTAGCCCAGGACTCCTAACCCCAGCCCTAGCAGAGACTATTGCTATTAAAAACTACAACTCCCATCAGCCCAGAGCAGCAGCTGGTTGAAGAAGAAAACTCCCAGGGCCTATAGCTTGTAGCTGGTTGGGTTTTAGGCCAATCCACCTATGCCCCGCCCCTTCGAAGCACAAAAATTCTACACACAGACACACAAATGCATAGGGGCGCGCGCGTGCACACACACACACACACACAAACACACAGCCCCTGTACCTGTTTGGATTCCATCTTCAGAAGGTAGATCAAGATCTGGCTGTGGAGCTTCCCCAGAGATGGTGGTATCCAGTCTGACCCGAGTTGGTTTAGGGGGTTTGAGAGGTGGCAGGAGCTTGCGTTCAGCAGTGGACCGATAAGAAGTGAGGACCACTGCGGGGTGACTGATGCTTGGAGGGTTAGGGCAGGAGCGGGAGGTCCTTAGCGGGGAGGCACGACAGAGAGCCCTGGGGCCATCTTCAGGGCTCCCCACTGGCACCCATCGGAGCTCCAGGCCAGGCCGGGCTACGTGGCAGACACAGGGGCAGCATGGAGGGCAGGCAAGAGCAGCATCTGTGGCAGATGGGAGACCCTAAGGAGAAAGACCTTGGGGCCTGGGTGGCCCACCCCCAGGGATTCCTCTCAATATCAAGGTCCAGCCCTGGCATCTATACATCTCCTCCACCCTGTGTTCAAACCTCCAGAAATGTAGAAACCCGATTTTCCAAACACAAAATTCGTTTTTGGAAAAAACTAGTCCATGAAATTTCCCAGTTTTCATTATTGAGAACAAAGATGAGCTATAATGAGGCCACCCCAGCCCCCTCCATATGCTTACCCAGAGCGCCATTCTCCTGGGACCCATTCCCGGTCAGCATGACGTGAGGAGCCTCTCTCTCCCCATTCACATCTGTTCCCCCTTGAGAACCCCGCTCGAGGGAGCCCGAAGTGTGTTTCTTGCTTTCAGCTCCCCATTCAAACCTGCCTGCCAGTCTCCGCACAGTGCCAGGGGCAGAGGCAGAGCCATCCTGGTTGGGGGCCTCAGTCCCTGGGAGCAGGGGCAGAGCTGGGCGGGGTGACCCAGAGGGCTTAGGTGGGGGAACCGGGGACCAGGGAGTGGGTTCGGGAGAGATGGATCGCCGGGACGCAGGACTGGGGGACCTGGAAGATGAATCTGGGGGAGTCTGGGAGTCAAGACTGACTCTAGAAGCTGAGGGAGGCAGAAGGGCAGGGGGCTTGAGGGATGCAGCTGGGGGCTCCCAGAAAATAGGGGAGCACATTGGGGTTGGTGCCTCACTGGAGGCTCGGGGAAGTGCTTGTGGAGAGGAGCCATTGAGGGGAGGCCCCGGGGAGTGGGGAGCCCGGGGACGAGAAGGGGGCCGAGGGCGGATGATCCTTGGGGGCTTCTGAGTAGGGGGTGTTGCTGCAGGAAGGGACTGGGCCGACATCTTTCTCTGGGCTCTTCAAAGAAGTGGGGTGATCTGCTGGAGTCATCCCCTGAGGAGGATGGAGGAAGAGAGAGACCCTTTAGTGGGTAGACTGGGGCCATGTGAAGCCATGATTTGGGGTCAGGAGAAAAGGCTGGTGTATTTCCTCTCCTTCCTTCCCAATTGCACTGCCTTCTCTCGCCTCCATCTCCCATCCTTCTTTCTCATTCTGTTCCTGAACTCTCCTGCACAGCCCTTCTTGGTCCTTTTTCTCTTTATTTAATTTTTTTTTTTTTTTGGTACCAGGGATTGAAGAGGGGCACTAACCACTGAGCCACAACCCCAGCCCTATTTTGTATTTTATTTAGAGACAGGGTCTCACTGAGTTGCTTAGTGCCTCGCCATTACAGAGGCTAGATTTGAACTCACAATCCTCCTGTCTCCTGCTTGGGAAGCCTCTGAGATTACAGGTGTGTGCCACCAGGCCTGGCTTAAATTTTTGAATTTTTAAAAACATTTATTTATTTATTTATTTATTTTGGTAGTGGTGATTGAACCCTGGAGCACTTAACCACTGAGCCACATCCCCAGCCCTTTTATATATATTTTATTTTAAGACAGGGTCTCCCTAAGTTGCCAAGGGACTCATTAAATTGCTGAGACTGGCCTCAAACTTGTGAGTCTCCTGCCTCAGCCTCCAGATTTACTGGGATTACAGGTATGTATCACCATACCTGGCTTTTATTTATTATTTATTTGTTTGTTTGTTTGTTTGTTTGCTTATTTATTTATTTATGCAGTACTGGGGATTGAACCTGGGGCCTTGCACATGCTAGGCAAGTGTTCTACCACTGAGCTACATTCCTAGTGTTTCTAAAATTTTATTTTGAGATAGGGTCTCACAAAATTGCCAAGACTGGCCTCAAACTTGGCAATCCTCCTGCCTCGGCCTCTTGAGTAGCTGGGATTACAGGTCTGCACCATTGTACTAGGCTTCAAATTTTTGACTTCTGCTGCCACAGTGAGGCCAAGGGAGACAGTGGGAGTAGGGGGCAGTGACTAGGTAGAGACCCAAGATAAAGGATGCATGATGCAGGGAACCAGAGAACTAGTAAGATGCAGGAAAGGGAATCTGGCTTGCCATGACAGCTACCATGTGTCTGCCTAATAAACTGTGTGCCAATGTGAGTCATGGAGGTTTGTGTGTGTTTTAAGGGTGTTCCCTATCTGCTACAGTACAAGTGGGGGCTGCATGGTGTGTGGTGAGTGTAGGTTGTGTGTTCAGTAGGTAGGTGTGCAGTGGGAGGGCAGGGTAGACCGTGTGGTCTGTTAAGGAGTGTGTGATGTAAGTGTATAGAGTTGGGGTGTGAAGGTGTACGTGTGTTCCATGCTGTCTGGATGGAGTGTGGATTTGTGTGTGCGCAGGCGCATGTGTGCACGCCCCTGCCTGGGCTAGCAGAGATGCATCACTGTTTCCCTGCTCCAGCAGGCCCTCCACCCCCCATTTCCCAGTTCCTCTCTCCGGACTCTCCCTTTCCGGATTATTTTTAGTCTCCTTTTCCTGCCACGAAGATTCCTGGAGTCTCTGACCCCAGGAGACCAGAAGGCTCCTGCATGGTCTCGTCTGTCCCCTATCCTCTCATCCCTGCCTACCCACTCCCTGGGGCTGCTCACAGAGAGAGGCTCCACTGAAGGGCTGGGTCCTGCCAGGATGCCTGGGGAGGTGGCCAGAGACCAAAGAAAAGGATAGGACCAGCAGAGCCAGGACTTTGGGGCCTGAACTTCTCTTTCTCTCTCAGGGAAAGAGGCTGCAGTCCCAAGAAGATTGCAGAATCAGAACGGGGGTACAGGGGAGCCCAGACTCCCTTCAGGAGTCAGAAGTCACATCCCTCCTGGCCCCACATCAGGTTCTTTAGGAATGTAGGATGGGGGCTGGGGGTTGTAGCCTGTGAGCTTTGTGCTCAGGGACCTCTGCATTCTGGCAGGAAGCCACTTAGCAAGGTGACCCTCACAGTAGCCTCAAGAGCTGGCTAGCTCCTCCCCAGCCCCTGCCCCCCTCAGGGATCCCACTCCACTCCCCACTCCCTTTAGGAACCAGCATTTACTTTCTTCCCCACACCCCACTTAGGCCTCTTGAAGGGACCAGGTAGTCAGGGCCCCAAGCACTCACCCTTGAGTCCCCTCCACTCTCAGTCACCTCCCAGGGCTGAGTGAGTAGGGGCAGGAAACAGGAATTGGATCCTCCTCCCAACCGGACACCCCCCCCCCACCAACCACACCACACTCCACATGCGCACACTAGGCCTCTGGGAGACGTGAGGATCCCAGTATCCAGAGTGTCGCAGGTTAACAGGTCTGAAGAAGGGCTGAGACCCAGGCTAGAGATCAGAGTGCTCCACATGTGCACATCCCGTCAGCTTTGCTGGGTGCACAGGGGCTCCCAGGACCGGGGTGGACAGGGTAGGGTGAGGATGGGGTGGCAATGGACCAGGGGCTGGGCTGACAGTACAGCATGGTTGTTATGTGTCTCTATCTCAGCTAAGGGATGGTGTGTGTGTGTGTGTGTGTGTGTGTGTGTCCTTACACAGCGTGTCTAACCATCTCTCCCACGACTTGCTCACCGCCTGTCTCTTTAGCTTTCCAACCTGTCCCCTGCATGTAAACCAGCCCACTATTTCACAGCAAGGGACCCCTAACTCTCCAGGGGCTCCCCATGATTTACCTTTATCTTTAGGAGTGTTTTCTATTTTTCAGCCTGTCCTACCTGCCCATTGGAACAAGGCATGCAGGCTGAGTTCTCCAAGGGCTGAGGTCTCCAAGGGTCTGATCCTGTTTCTGGGGTAGGAGCTAAGGGCCCAGATTGCAATCTCCGCAAAGGAAGCCAGTTCCTCCGCCCCACCCAGCCATTGTGTCAGGAGTGTGTGTGTGTGTGAGATGTAGGAGGGAGAGGGGGGCCAAGAGCCAGGAGGTGAGGAGGATCGAACATTTATATCTCCTCCAAGTAGGTGTGAGATTTGTTGGGACCCCTGCTACTCACCATTCTCCAGTTCCTGACTCCCTGTCCCTCTGGGAAACTTTCATGATGATGGCCAGGAGTCCGTGCTCTAATGAGGAAGGTGGGATGGGAGGGGGTCCCTCTCACCTTTAATTTTCTCTGTGGCTGAGAAACAGTTCCCAGGGCTTGGGTGTGTCATAAAAAAAAAAAACAAAAAAAACGAGGGAGTGAAATGAACGCGCCTCAGCCTGAAAAGTAAGGTGGTGAGAAGAAGAGGCAACGGCTAGTTATGAGATCTGGTGGCCGGTGACTACACCCCAATGTCCGCCCTTGTCAGACCTACACATACACACTCCAAATAAGACACTTAAGAAGAAAATCCAGAAAGCTGGCAGGAAAATATGCTTTCGTCCCTTTTCTCCAAGTAAAAGCCCAAAGTCTTTCTAGTGCCCAAGAAGAGCAAAACCTACCCTCTTCAACATTTTCTCTCAGATGCACTCCTAACCCAGGACCTTTTCACCAGCTGTGCCCTCTGCCTGGAAATCTTCTTTCCAATACATCCCTATGGATTTGTTGAAGGACACACGTTGAATGAGGCCCATCCCATCCATTCTTTTTTTTGTTGTTGTTCTTTTTAGTTATACATGATACTAGACACTCTTAAAAACTGCAATGGGAATGGGTATGTAATAGAATACTGCCTAGCATGCAAGAGGACCTCAGTTTCATCCCCAATGATCTCTCCCTCCCTCCCACCCCCCACACACGAAATACACGCTGCAATCTCATACCACATTTGTGTGTGTGTGTGTGTGTGTGTGTGTGTGGTGCTGGGGATCTAACCCAGGGGCACTTTACAACTGAGCTACATCTCAAACCTTTTTTATTTTTTATTTTGAGACAAGGTCTCACTAAGTGGCCAAGCACTCGCTTTGAACTTGGATCCTCCTGCCCCAACTTCCTGACCTTCCTTCTCCCTCCACAGTAATTATACTTTATAACGTCCCACATAGTATACTTATATGTTATGTTTATAGTGAACAGTGAATTATTACTGTGGTTATTATTATTATTTTATTTTATTTTTGCTGTACTGGGATTGAACCCAATGTTTGTGCATGCTAGGCAAGCACTCTACCTCTGAACTACATCGCCAACCCTTTTTATTTTATTTTGAGACAGGGCCTCTGTCTCAAATGGCCAAGGCTGACCTCAAAGTTGTGATCCTTCTGCCTCAGCCTCCCAAGTAGTTAAATCATCTTCTCACATTAGAAAGTCAGCTTTCTGAGCTGGATATGGTGGTGCAAGCCTGTAATTCCAGCAACTTGGAAGGAGGATCTCAGTGTCAAGGCAGCCTGAACAACTGAGCAAGGCCCTAAGCAACTTAGGGAGAACCTGTCTCAAAAATTTTAAAAAGAATAAAAATAAGAGAGCTGAGGATATAGCTCAGTGGTAGAGCACCCCTGGGTTCAATCCCCAGTACCAAAAGAAACAAGCAAACAAAAAAGAGAAAATAAGCTTCCTAGAGACACCATCCTTATGTGTTTTGTTCAGTGATGTATCTCAAAGTTCTGGGTTAGGGCTAGGCACATGATAGATGTTCACAGGTGCTTATGTTTGATTCATTGAACCAAAGTGATTGAAATGTTCCCCATAACCCGCTACTCCCTTTACTGTCCTTTCTTACATATTACTTACATAATTGTATTGATCCCACTAGTTTATCACCACACACACACACACACACACACACACTACACACATACACTGGGCCCTTATGGTTTAGATGTGAGATGTCTCCCAAAACCTGATGTGAGACAACATAAGAAGGTTTCAAGGTGATTGGGTTATGAGAACTTTAAACCAATCAGTGAATTAATCCTCTGAGAGGGATCAACTGGGTGGTAACTAAAGACAGGTAGGGTGTGGCTGGGAGAGGTAGGTCTTTGGGGGTGAGCCTTTGGGGTATAAATTTCATCCCCAACAAGTAGAGTCTCCCTCTGCTTTCTGGTGCCACGTTCCCAGCTGCATTCCTCTGCCATGATGTACCACCTCACCTGGAGCCCCAAGGGATGTAGGATGTAGTTGGCCACTTACGGTCTAAGGCCTCTGAAATTTTTTTTTTTTATACTGGGGATTGAGCTCAGGGGCACTCGACCAGCCCTATATTGTATTTTATTTAGAGACAGGGTCTCACAGAGTTGTTTAGCCCCTCACTTTTGCTGAGGCTGGCTTTAAACTAGTGATCCTCCTTCTTCAGCCTCCCGCCTGACCTGTCTGGGATTACAGGCGTGTGCCACTGCACCTGTCTAAGGCCTCTGAAATTGTGAGCCCCAAAATAAACTTTCCTATGCTGGGAATGTAGTTCAATGGTAGAATGCTTGCCTAACATGTGCAAAGCCCTGGGTTCAATCCTCAGCATTAAAAATAAATAGAAAAATAAATAAGTGGAAAATAAACTTTCCTCCTCTAAAATTGTTCTGGTCAGGTCCTTTGGTCACAGCAACAAAAAATCTGACTAACACAAGAGCCAAGCGTCCAATCTCCCAGCCCTCATCTCTAGATGCTTTTGTCTGGGGAAAGAAAATCTTTTCTCCTAGTGTCTCAGAGACCCCACCAAGAAAGCTAGGCACACACATTTAACCAAAAAAAAAAAATCCTGTTTTGAGGGAATAAATGGGAATAAATAAAGAAAGATGGGAAGCATCTTTATTTGATTTGCTACTAAAAAACATAATGTTAAAAAAATTAATAATAACAAAAGGGCTGAGGTTGTAGCTCAGCCGTGGAGTGTTTGCCTTCCACATGTGAGCACTGAGTTTGATCCTCAGTACCACATAAAAATAAATAAAGGCATTGTGTCCATCTACAACCAATAAATAAAAAAGTAGCCAGAAAGTGCTGGTTGTTAGTTGCTAACATGGATGGCACTTGGTACTTCATGAACTGCTCCAGGTCTGAATGGGAATGTTGGGTCTCAAGAGGGGGAGTGAAAGAACCCAGTGTGGTGGCACATGCCTGTAATCCCAATGGCTTGGGAGGCTGAGGTAGGAAGATCACAAGTTCAAAGCCAGCCTCAGCAACTTAGCAAGACCCTGTCTCAAAATAAAATGCAAGGGCTGGGGTTAAGTGCCCCTAGGTCCAATCCCTGTTACCAAAAAGAATGGAGACTGGCAGAGTGGCACATACCTGTAATCTTAGCTACTCAGGAGGATGAGGCAGATACAAGTTTTGAAAACTTAGTCTTTTTTCTAAAATAAAAAATAAAAAGGGCTGATGATGTGGTTCTGATAGAGAGCCCTGGGGTTCAACCCCCAGTGCTGCATTTAAAAAAGAAAGAAAGGAAAAAAGGGGGCTGAGGATATAGCTCAGGTGGTAGAGTGATTTCCTTGCATGCACAAGGCCATGGTTTGATCCCCAGCACCACAAAAAAGAAAGAAAGAAAGGAAAAAAGAAAGTGGAACAGAAAAGAGAAATTGGATGGTGCAGGACCTGTTCTCCCTGTCTAGTCTGAGCTTATCTCCTTGTTCCCCTCCCTTTAATCCTACTCCAGACAGACATACTCCCACCCAGAGATTTTCACCCATTCAGGAGAAACTCCCAAAGGTCACACTGTGAATATTCGAACATTCCTGACAAAGTGGGTCCACTGCTCAAAGCAACCAACTGCAAAGATGAAAACAATGACTTCAAATCTATAAAAGTCACCAGGTTTATGCCCCACTCCATTCCAACAAGATATATATAATCTGAAAAAATCACTGAATGCAATATGTACCAGTTTTTTTCACAAATATTTTCTTTCTTTCTTTCTTTTTCTTTCTTTCTTTCTTTCTTTCTTCCTTCCTTCCTTTCTTTTCTTTCTTTTTTTTTTTTTAATGGTGGTGGGGATCAACCCCAGGGCCTCATGCATGCTAGTCAAGTGCTCCACCACTGAGCTACATCCCCAGCCCAGTATTTTATTTCTTGTATGTTTTTGCAAAGATACTGAAAGTTATTTATGTGATGATCCGTTCTTCCTGCCACCCCCACAAAGCAAATTTTTTTTCTGTTTTTGCATATTCTGAAAGTACCATCATAGTTTCAAGTCTGTATATTCTGCCTTCTCTGTATTGTTTTTGTTTTGTTTTTAATTTTTTTTTCTAGTTGTAGTTGGACACAGTACCTTTATTTTATTTATCTATTTTTATATGGTGCTGAGGCTTGAACCCAGAGCCTCGCATGTGCTAGGCAAGCGCTCTACCGCTGAGCCACAATCCCAGCTCTCTGCATTGTTTATAATCATTTCCACGTTGCCATATGGTCTTTGAAATTACCCCTTTTGCTGGAATTTAATATTACAATGACTAGATTTTGCCATCCTGGCAAGAAGGAATCCAGGTCTTCCAAGAAACTCTCCATCCCCCACCAATTCCATGGGGTTCCAGTGGGACCACCAATCATAACCGACTCTTGTTGGGAGCTGCCACATGAGTGACTTTTCGCTGGCTCTGCCTATGATCCCCACACAGTACATGAGATGGGCATGGCCTTCCTAGATGTCAATCAACGTGCTGATAGCCAGACATCATGAAGCTAGACTCAACCCCCTGAAACCTGACCTCTTGCCTCGTTTGAATGGCTTCTCCCCAATAAAAGGGTTCAACATGTGCTCCCTGCTCTCTTTCTTGCCTGCCTTGCCCTCAGTAAGGAGCGGTCACTGAACTCGAAGATACTTTCTGTGTCTGTGTCTTTATTTAGTCCCCAAATTCACTTGGAGTGACCCTGACCGGTTTAGTCATGTGACACGACAGACTCTCTCTGGCCATCTGACAAGATTGGTCAATCCCAGTACCCTATTCCTC